GCGGCCGGTGGCAGCGGTCGCGCTAAATATCAGTTGGCGTCAGAGGGCAGGACTGCAGACGGCGTCACCTTTGTAGACGGCGCCACCACCGTAGGTGGCGCCATGAAAGCTGTAGGCGGCGCCACTAGAAAATGCGCCTGCCGCCCCATCCGCTAGATGTCACCGTGCCCTAAGCAGTATCAGGTTTTACTTGGAATTCGTCACTCAGCTCCGCCAGCTGTACGTACGATCATTTCCTACCGTTTAAATCATTTCTTTAGCCGACAGAAATAGTTCTAACTCGTTAAGACCTTTCATTTGGCGCATTGTTTCACAATGTCTTATATGCCTTCGTCAGCGACAACAGATAAGCTCGGCAAACATCCGCTCCCTCTCTCATGCCGCGCGCGCATGCGGCGGTCGGATCGCTCGCTGCTCTAGTGACTGCCGAATAAACCTTTGTTGTTGAGATACTCGCTCAAGTATTGGTGCCCATATACTCGCTTAAGTGTTGGTGCCCAACAGGACGGACCGTGCCGAGCATTGCGGCGCGTTAACTTTCACCATTAAATTCTGCCGATGCCTGGAATTGCGCGATCGGATTGTATTAGGTCAGGACTCACACGACAAGCACTGCTCAGCGTGAGTTCTGACCCCGGAAATCCATCCATTCAAAGGGTTCGGATCAAATCTTTACAAAGTGTCGTAATCGGCCGATGAAAGCTTATGGCGAGCTACTCGCGGTGGACCTTTCGGCTCTGCGCGGCACCATGTGGGACCTGTGAGGCACCATGTGAGACCTGCACGGCGCCATGTGAGATCTGCGCGGCACCATGTGAGACCTGTGAGACACCATGTGAGCCCTGCACGGCGCCATGTGAGGCACCATGTGAGACCTGCGCGGCACCATGTGAGACCTGCGCGGCACCATGTGAGACCTGTGAGGCACCATGTGAGACCTGTGAGACACCATGTGAGGCCTGCTAGGCACCATGTGAGACCTGCACGGCACCATGGAGATCTGCGAGGCACAGCGCGCACTGCCCTGCGGGACAGCTCCGGAGCACCCCGAAGCGCCCTGGTCTCAGGCAGCCTGAGAGTACTGGCGCCTGCATGTGGTGATCGTATGCGATCGCCTATTTTGCGTTGTGTTTGCTATATATCTACTTGTTTGGTCGTTGTGGGTCGTGACTTACCTTATTCATTACTGCATTCCTTATCCGATTAACTGATCTCTTTTGAATACACTCGTTCTACGTAATACGCGCCATAGGCCCCATTTTTTATTCGTCCCTCAAACAAGTGGTCCAAGCATTCCGCCGGGCTGAGTTGACCGACAGAAAGAAGACTTCGCCTGGCTAACAAACCAATGTCGTGGGGCTGCGCCGGAGGCGCGGTCTCACTTTCACGTGGGCGAGGGCGGTCCCAGCCCACCCTCAGCTGTGAGCGGAAGGTGGTAAGACATCTGAGGAAACTGGCCAAATGACCAAACACTCGGAGCGACGCCAAATCCATATGTCATCCTGAAGAAACTCGCATGTTGCAATTTTCGAAAGCATCGTAGCTGCCCGCAGGTTACCAAAATTCAGAACAAGGAGACTTTGTCGGCTTGGGAGGTCTTGTTATGAACCAGGAGGTGTCCGTTCTGGGCTAGGAAACATCGTCTCTACTTAAAAGGCCCCTTTTCTGCTTCCGAAGCTGATCAAAAGTAAAATTGCTCAGTCAGTGCGATTCGTGTCTTCTTGTTTTTATCCAACACAATCCAGACAGCAAGATTCATGGACTTTATTAATTCATTCTGCATGAACAACTTCGGTCATTTTGCCTTCATTGCCCGACACTGGACTAAGCGTTGGTCCGGACTAAACGTTCCCGGAAGGGCGGCGTCCTGCCCGGGACGCCCGTGGCGAGTCGCAGACACACATCCCGCTGAACTGAACGTGTCTGCTGTCTGGCCCCGTGGCAAAAACCACGTCCAAAATTCACAGATCCACCTTATCTACACGTCAAGTCTTGTCCGCCAGCAAACATAATTATGAGCTAATTCTTAAAAACTGCAGTTCGTTAACAAAATAAGATCATCGGCGACAGGAAGTAAGGTTGAATACGATATTTGAGGTATCAATGCTAAGACCCGAGATCAGACGAGCAACGTCTTGGATGAGCGGGGACGGAGCGCCCGCCACTGGCCGTGACGCGGCGTCACACAGCCCTCGGCTGGTCCGGTCCGGACCGCACAGGCAGACCTCCGTGACGACGGCGCCCGCTGTGGGCCGGGTCCGCTCCGGTGCCACCCCAGGCGGGTCGGGTCCGCACCAGAGCCTCAGCCCGCTGTGGGCCGGGTCTGCTCCGGTGCCACCCCAGGCGGGTCGGGTCCGCACCAGAGCCTCAGCCCGCTGTGGGCCGGGTCCGCTCCGGTGCCACCCCAGGCGGGTCGGGTCCGCACCAGAGCCTCAGCCCGCTGTGGGCCGGGTCTGCTCCGGTGCCACCCCAGGCGGGTCGGGTCCGCACCAGAGCCTCAGCCCGCTGTGGGCCGGGTCCGCTCCGGTGCCACCCCAGGCGAGTCGGGTCCGCACCAGAGCCTCAGCCCGCTGTGGGCCGGGTCCGCTCCGGTGCCACCCCAGGCGAGTCGGGTCCGCACCAGAGCCTCAGCCCGCTGTGGGCCGGGTCCGCTCCGGTGCCACCCCAGGCGAGTCGGGTCCGCACCAGAGTCTCAGCCCGCTGTGGGCCGGGTCCCCTCCGGTGCCACCCCAGGCGGGTCGGGTCCGCACCAGAGCCTCAGCCCGCTGTGGGCCGGGTCTGCTCCGGTGCCACCCCAGGCGGGTCGGGTCCGCACCAGAGCCTCAGCCCGGAGCCACGCCGGGCCGCGTCATCGGCCGGCGCTGCCCAGACCGTCGTCGCGCCCGCGCCGCACGGCGGCTGCCAGTGCCGCGATGCGGACGTCTCTGATGGAGCGCGGCCGCGGCCTCAGCGCGCCTAGGAAGAACACGTTGAGTCGGGCCAGGTCGACCGAGCACGGCCGCAGCGCCCGGTAGGCGGCCCGCTGCTGCGGCTGGCGGCAGGACGGCGGCGGCACCACCCGCGGCAGATGGCCGGCCGCACCCTGCCGCACGGCACCCGTCAGTCGCCGACCGCACAATGGGGGGGGGGAGAGGGGGAGGGGAAATGAAGTCGTTTCGGTCAACCATGACCATTTCTGGGCCATGGGATGAGGAGATATGTGAGCGGTTGGGCCGAAATGCAGCCGAACTCGGGGCGCGCTACTGCCGAGGCCTGCCCCGCACCGGGGGCCTTATTGGGGCCCTGCGCATGGCTCCTGTCAGGGCTCCCGCTAGGTGGCCTCTGCGGCCGGCTCACAGCCGCTACACCCAGCTTGTCCCGGACGAACATTTGGGACTCGGACTGACGCGGCGAATTGGGTGAGGACAGATCTGACACAGGTAATCCATAGGGACAGGTGCATATCGCTGAATACGCGGACACGCATTTCCGAACCCAATAACTACTCTGAGAACCGTGCAGCTGGTCACGGCATCACTGTCCGCGGGACCAAGCTGTCCCGCACTGCTCGCGCCCACCTGGCGGCGACCCCGGCCCCCAGGCCGGCGGTGCCGCTGCCAGGCGACAGGAGCCCACCCTGCCGCACCTGGCCTGTGTGGCCGCGCCGGCTCCGCGCGCCGCCGCTCAGCACGCTGTGGATGGCAAGATCCGTCACCCACTCCTGGAAGCGGCGCTGCCAGCCCACGTACCGCACCAGGTAGCGCCGGTACGTCAGCCGGGCGCACACGCCCACCACCTGGAGCGGAGGCGGCGGCGTCAGCCGGCACGAGCCGTGTCAGCCCGCGGCAAAGGCCGACCGCTCTGCCGCCAGCCGGCCAGTCCCACGCCAGAGTAAGACACAGACAGACGCTGACGGTGACCATCGAGCAAGGCGGATCACAGCGCAGCAACACTGCAGTGCACATTCACCAGGAGTACACTAAAAATGGTTACAGACACTAAGACTGGTGTGAACTGCCAGCTACGCATGAACCAGTCAAACGCGGTATCCGTTCACTTGGCAGATGAATCCTAACACACATGCCTACATCCCGACCCTGGAGGGGTGTGCGGGTGGCGGCCGTGGTCCGCCTACCTTGGCCGGCCACAGGAGCTGGGCGCCGTCGGCCGTGGTCTCGTACACCACCAGCACCAGCCGGCCGGGGTCGGGGCCGGGGCCGGGGCCGGGGCCGGACGCCGCCGTCCTGCCGGCGCACGGTCTGGGCTCAGTCCCGTCCCGGCTTCAGAGAGCCGGCGGCGATCTGGGCTCAGTCCCGTCCCGGCTTCAGAGAGCCGGCGGCGATCTGGGCTCAGTCCCGTCCCGGCTTCAGAGAGCCGGCGACGGTCTGGGCTCAGTCCCGCCCCGGCTTCAGAGAGCCGGCGACGGTCTGGGCTCAATCCCGTCCCGGCTTCAGAGAGCCGGCGACGGTCAGGGCTCAATCCCGTCCCGGCTTCAGAGAGCCGGCGGCGATCTGGGCTCAGTCCCGTCCCGGCTTCAGAGAGCCGGCGACGGTCTGGGCTCAGTCCCGCCCCGGCTTCAGAGAGCCGGCGACGGTCTGGGCTCAATCCCGTCCCGGCTTCAGAGAGCCGGCGACGGTCAGGGCTCAGTCCCGCCCGGTTTCAAAGAGCCAGAGCACGGTCCGGGCTCAGTCCCGTCCCAGCTTCAGAGAGCCGGGGGCGATCTGGGCTCAGTCCCGTCCCGGCTTCAGAGAGCCGGCGACGACCTGGGCTCAGTCCCGTCCCGGCTTCAGAGAGCCGGCGACGGTCTGGGCTCAGTCCCGCCCCGGCTTCAGAGAGCCGGCGACGGTCTGGGCTCAGTCCCGTCCGGTTTCAAAGAGCCAGCGCACGGTCCGGGCTCAGTCCCGTCCCGGCTTCAGAAAGCCGGCGGCGATCTGGGCTCAGTCCCGTCCCGGCTTCAGAGAGCCGGCGGCGATCCGGGCTCAGTCCCGTCCCGGCTTCAGAGAGCCGGCGACGGTCTGGGCTTAGTCCCGCCCCGGCTTCACAGAGCCGGCGACGGTCTGGGCTCAGTCCCGCCCCGGCTTCAGAGAGCCGACGACGGTCTGGGCTCAGTCCTGTCCCGGCTTCAGAGAGCCGGCGACGCCGCATTCCGGGCTGCTACAAGCTCGTAAATGCAGTCGCTCATACCCTTCTCGCGAAAACAATGCAAATGGAGCGTCAAAACAACCCCAGAAAGCAGGTTTCCCAGTGTAAAACCGTTTGGTCTTAACACTCAACTTTTATATCTAACCCAGCATCAATAATATAACTTAATCCTGATTCTCATTGTCCAACTGTCTGAGAAACCATCTAAAAGCTGCATGACATCATTTAACACCCCAGTGTTGCATCAGCTTAACAGACTTTCCAAAAACTGCCTTCGCTGACAACCGTGGCCTGACCGACCTGCCGCGGGTCAGTGACCTTATGAGGTATGTTCAATGTCGTAGCCCAAAGACCGGCTGCTCAGTTACCCACAGTCAGGCAAAGCTCTGTGTCGCTTCGCCGCACCATTGAGACGCTGCTCTGGACAAGCCTCGGGGAGATCACACCGGCACCCACCCGAAGAGACGAGCGATCAACTCAGGCCAGCCGTCGGCAGGCAACACACAAGGGTTTGGTTACGGGCACCAACACGTTCCTGAAAGCTCGCAACTCACTGCGCCCCTGTCGCCACCGGCCGGTCCCCGGTCTCCTCCGCTGGTGGCGGCGGCGACAGCTCGGGCACGAACGACAGTCGTCGCGCAGGGGTGCTGCGGCCACTACGCGGCGAGGGCAGGGCGGCGGCCGCAGCCGCCCGGCAGGGGGAGCCACCGGCGCGGCCGCTCGCCTCCCGCGGCGGCCGATCGGCCGGGTCCGTTTGGCTGTCACATTCGCAGGACGGCAGCCGTTCCCGACTGGCCGGCTCAGGGGACGAGCCAGTGGGAGCCCTCTTTCGGCGCGACTGGAAACACAAGCTTCAATGAACAGCATGCACAGGCCCCATGTAGCACAATGGCTCCCGCGCGTCGTCTGTCTGGCATCCAAAGACCACAGCACGCTTCGGTGCGTTGTCCACAGCACAACACTGTGATTGGCACATGGTGCTGATGGTGCCGCCCGGCCGTCCGCTGCCGGCGCGCTGCCAGCCAGCTGGCCAACGACAAATGGTGGGCGACAGAGCGTCGCGCCATGGAGAGCCGGCCGGCGCCGTCCCGTACCGGCCCGCTGGCCGGCGGCGATGTCGGCTCCACCATCTGGATGGGCAGCAACTGGGAGCGGTACACGCGCGAGATCTCTGGCCGAGTCACCCAGCGGTCGTGCCGGCGCGCCATGTCCTTGAAGTGGACGTAGTAGCGGGTGGGCCGCACGTCCGTGTCCACCTTCATCACCTGGTGGACAGAAGCGCGCGTTAAGCCGGCGGGCGGGGTACGGCCACGGGCAGCCGGGGGGCGGGACACCACCACAGCCGCGGGGTACGGCCACGGGCAGCCGGGGGGCGGGACACCACCACAGCCGCGGGGTACGGCCACGGGCAGCCGGGGGGCGGGACACCACCACAGCCGCGGGGTACGGCCACGGGCAGCCGGGGGGGGGGGGGGGGGGGCGGGACACCACCACAGCCGTGGGGTACGGCCACGGGCAGTCGGGGGGCGAAGCACCACCACAGCCGCGGGGTACGGCCGCCCGTCACGGTCCGGCCACCCTGTGCCGTGGTGTCCTTAAAGACTGCAGGCACATAATAGAGAAGGCACATATGAAATAGTTAGAAAGAATTAAGAGTACAGCGCATGCTCAGTGCAGACTCTTCAGACTTTTCAAAACATAACCGAATAACCTGAACGGACCAAAGTCGTCAACTATACATGGAGCACTGAGCTGACAGCGGTGAGATTAAACCAGTCGCGCCCATCTGTCTAGGGCAGCGGCTCAGTCCGCCGCACGTCAGGCCGGCAGAGGCTCAGTCCGCCGCACGTCAGGCCGGCAGCGGCTCAGTCCGCCGCACGTCAGGCCGGCCGAACAAACGCATCGTTCTACGCCGCCCAGAATCCCACCATGGCGTCCAGGGCGTCGTAGCTCTCATGGCCCTCGTCGTTGTTGAGGAAGAGCACCTCCACCGTGTTGCCGGGCTCGATCTCACCGTCCCCGCGTCTGAGGGACGCAGCATGCACTCGGTCAGGGCCGCGTCTGAGGGACGCAGCATGCACTCGGTCAGGGCCGCGTCTGAGGGGCGCAGCATGCCCTCGGTCAGGGCCGCGTCTGAGGGGCGCAGCATGCACTCGGCCAGGGCCACGTCTGAGGGGCGCAGCATGCCCTCGGCCAGGGCCACGTCTGAGGGGCGCAGCATGCACTCGGCCAGGGCCACGTCTGAGGGGCGCAGCATGCCCTCGGTCAGGGCCGCGTCTGAGGGGCGCAGCATGCCCTCGGCCAGGGCCACGTCTGAGGGGCGCAGCATGCACTCGGCCAGGGCCACGTCTGAGGGGCGCAGCACGCACTCGGCCAGGGCCGCGTCTGAGGGGCGCAGCATGCCCTCGGTCAGGGCCACGTCTGAGGGGCGCAGCATGCCCTCGGCCAGGGCCACGTCTGAGGGGCGCAGCATGCACTCGGCCAGGGCCACGTCTGAGGGGCGCAGCACGCACTCGGTCAGGGCCGCGTCTGAGGGGCGCAGCATGCCCTCGGCCAGGGCCGCGTCTGAGGGGCGCAGCATGCCCTCGGTCAGGGCCACGTCTGAGGGGCGCGGCACAGACTAGGTAAGAGCCGAGAATCACCGAACAGTACAGGTCAATTTCCAGGCACCGAGTTAAGTGGCCACGTAATAGTGGGCGGTCATGATAATGACTGCACATCTATCGAGCCATCTGTCACTGATGACCACATGCGTACGTGAGCTGCTCATGAATGACATGCACTGTTCATGCATATGCATGATCCGTACCGCCAAACTTATGGCACACAAAAACAGGCAAAACCACAGTGAATGACATCATTTGCATCGGGTCAGGAAGGGATAAAGGCGATGAAATAACATGACGGCACGCCCAACAAGTAGGCAGTGCCTGGCTCGTCGATCCGCTTCTCACCGCCGCCTGGCTCGTCGGTCCGCTTCTCACCGCCGCCTGGCTCGTCGGCCCGCTTCTCACCGCCAACAGCCAGTCACGAGCGTTAGCTGGCATCCTCACAAGTACATACGTTCTCCCCCCCCCCCCCACGCAACAAAACGGATTTCGCAAGTGGTATGTCTCAGTGACGTTAATACCCCTCCCCACACACACTGCACAGCGTCACATCCAGGTATCATTGAGCACCGCCCGAGCACTAACCCCTGAGGTTTTCTGTACAGCGGCCGCCTGCCCTGTTTAGCTGTCCTCCACACGGCGCGTCGCCGCTTCCGCCGCCGCGCCGTCCCCCGTCCGGCCGCCGCCGTCTGGTCCCGGACGGCCGTCCCCGTCAGCGCCTCCGCCGGCTCCTTCGGTGCCTCCGGCGGCGGAGACGCGTCCAGCGGGGTCTCCACGGGCTCCCGCGGCGGCGGCGAGGCGTCCAGCGCCAGCGTGAGCGGCGGCGCGGCGCTGTCCAGCAGCGAGTCCATGCTGACCAGATACAGCTTGGCCGGCAGACCGGCGCCACCCGGTTGCTGCGCGGCCAGCGGACAGCTGGGCTCACCGGCGGCCGGACCCAGCGTCAACGGATCGCCGCACTCTGGCGCCGCCGCCCACACCGGCGACGACGGCCCGCTGGCGTCCAGCTCCACAGACCGACTGCGCATGCGCGGCGCCTCTGACTTCACGACGCACGGCGACTCCAACACCGACTCGAGCTTCACGGAAATCTGAGCGGGCGAGGACGGCTCCGGCTCCACGGCGGCGGAGGCAGCGTGCTCGAGGAGCGCCGTGCCGATACACGGTTCATGTTTGATGACGACCATCGGCGCCTGGTCCACGGAGGCGGCGCTGGGGACAGGCTCACACTTGACGGCCAGTCCAGCGCTCTCAGTGCACGCAGGCCGGTGCACGCGGGCCGACTGGCTGGCACAGGCCGGGTCCCGCGTCATTGCTGCGTCCGGCTCTATCTGCAGCGGCGCAGTGCCGCTCGCACGCTTCTCCGGTAGCGCGTCGCCACGCTTCACCACAGCAGGCACCGCTGGAGCCTCAGCGCCGCCAGAGAGCCGCCGCTGCTCGCCGCCGGCCTGCGTCCCCGCTCGGCGCGGCGCCGGCGCCGCCGTGCTGGACGGCCTCCGGACGGCCACCGCCGGCCGGCCCCGCCTGGTCCAGGCCCGCCTCGGCCAGCAGCCGATGAGCGGGCATCGTGCGGCCGCTGTTGTCACGCGCCACCAGCTCGAAACGGCCCACCATGAGGCGCTGCGAGCGCTCCATCAGACGCGTCAGCTGCTCAGCGTTCAGCTGGCGCTCGCTCTGCAGCGCGGCGCCCTGCTCACTGAGCCGGCGCAGCGTGCCAGGACGGTACACCGGGTCCCACCAAGGCGCCGCCGACATCTGCGGCGGCGGCGGCTGAGAGAAGGCGCTGGTGGGGCTCGGCGCTGCCGGCGGCGGCGGCTGAGAGAAGGCGCTGGTGGAGCTAGGTGCTGCCGGCGCCGACGGCTGAGGAAAGGCGCTGGTGGAGCTAGGTGCTGCCGGCGCCGACGGCTGAGGGAAGGCGCTGGTGGAGCTAGGCGCTGCAGGCGCCGGCGGCGGATCGTCGGTGGGCTGGAGCGGCTGGCAAAGCAGGTCTAACAGGGTAGAGAACCGCGGACCGGCCGTACGGCTCCGGGACGCCGCCACGTGTGGACCGCTTGAGGACGTCTGCGCGCGGGCGGGATCAGGCGACATGTGATCAGCCCGAGGTCGCCACGACGTGTGCGTCAAGCTCTGGCCGGCAGGCTGCAAGAGTCGTTGAGGGATGCTTTCCTGTCGCGAGTCATATGGCAGAACCTTTGCGGTTGGCTTGCCGGCCGGTTTTTGTGCGCTGGAGGCACGCGGACGCGGAGGAACTGTTCTGTCACGTCCCTGGAGTAGGACGCTGTTCGCGCTGCGCTTGGACAGCGCGGCCGACGTGAAATCCGGCAGCGGCCGCCGCTGAGCTGGGGCCAGACGGCAGTTGGCGGCCAGCGGCGCAGGAGCCGCTGGGCTGGCGCCAGCCCGGCTCCTGCCGGCTGTCGCCGGCGGGGCGCGCATCGGCGGCTCGTGCGCCGGCTCGGCCGGACGGCAGGTGGCGGTGTGGCCGGGGCCGGGCGCCGCCGACCGCACCCCAATCACCTCCACGTCGACGTCGGCCGTCTGATAGCCATCGCCGTCCGACAACACTGCTACCGGGCCGCCGTGGTCGGCGCGCCCCACCGGTGGCCGCCGCCTGGCCGGCGGCACGAACACCACGCGGCCCACCTCCGTGATGTCGTCGAGGTCCGGGCCGGCGTCGGGGCGGCCGTCACCTGCCGACGCCAGCAGCGCGGCCGGCAGCCGGCGGCCGACGCCGGCGCTCTGGCGTGCCGGCGAGGTGGGCGGCGCGCCGGCCACTGGGTCACTGACGCCAGCGCCGGCCGCTTGAGCGATGACCGTCCGGCTGCGTCCCAATGTCCGCGACAGCCCTGCCACACTGCGACCTGCGGCAGCTGCCGGACCAGCCCCACCCGGTGCCGGCCGGGCACTGCCAACAGTGATC